AGAGAGAGAGAGAGAGAGTGAGAGAGAGAGAGAGAGAGAGAGAGTGAGAGAGAGCGATAGAGAGGACAGGAAACTGAATGAGGCAAGCAGGACTCACAGCATCAGTGCATGCGCATTAATCACAGCACTGATGCAAAAAAAAAGTGTTTTTAATCATTGAAATGTCCATCTACACTCCCACTGGAGCACCTCCAAGTTGCAAGAAGTGCAAATACTGATAAAACAAAACATGATGGCCGAAATTCTACATTTTATATTTGTCTGGATCTACAAATTTTACATTAAGACTGTCAGTATTCACTGAAAAGGTAAAGATATCAATCAGAAGGCAGCATTACTGGGTGTTTTTGTGATTGCTCTTCTCCTACCTGGTGAAACTGTAGCCAGTCTTCATGACTGTAAGGGAAGGATCCGCCAAGGTCAGAGGTCAACTGCTGTCCATCAACTGTCTTATGGAGAGCTTTTAGTGACGTCACAACATCTATCTGAAAGAAAAGATCATGTACTTTAACATACTGTACTGCACGTGTGTGAGACCCAAGCATGAGAAAAGTCTCTTCTGCTCACCAGGGCTACATTCATTTGAACAAAAATACAGTCAAAACAGTAATATTGTGAAATATTATTACAATTTAAAATATTAGAATTTTATATTCGAATATATTTTAAAATGTAATGTATACCCTGCTGAATTTTCAGTATCATTACATGATCCTTCAGAAATCATTCTAATATGCTGATTTTCTGCTCAAGAAACAGTCATGTTGAAAACAGTTGTGCTGATTAATATTTTTGTGGAAACCGTGATACATTTTATGTTTTAGGATTCTTTGATGAATAGAAAGAACAAAAGAACAGCATTTATTTGAAACGGAAACTGTTTGCAACATTTGAAATGTTTTTACTGTCAATTTCGATTAATTTAATGCATCGTAATATTGTGAAATATTATTACAATTTAAAATATTAGAATTTTATATTCGACTATATTTTAAAATGTAATGTATACCCTGCTGAATTTTCAGTATCATTACATGATCCTTCAGAAATCATTCTAATATGCTGATTTTCTGCTCAAGAAACAGTCATGTTGAAAACAGTTGTGCTGATTAATATTTTTGTGGAAACCGTGATACATTTTATGTTTTAGGATTCTTTGATGAATAGAAAGAACAAAAGAACAGCATTTATTTGAAACGGAAACTGTTTGCAACATTTGAAATGTTTTTACTGTCAATTTCGATTAATTTAATGCATCCTTGCTGAATTAAAAAAATAACTGCTTTAAAAAAAAAAAATGTGAAAGCAGCAATAAAATGCCAAAGGAGTTCAACATCTGCATATAGTAACAGGTACTGTATATCAGCCTACAAACCCCAGATCAACACCCAGAGCTGAAGGCATGTATATCTGAACTCAGAGAGAGCAGACATTCTAGGAGTTAATGAAAAGGTTGCAGGTTTCCATGAAGGCGTAATTGCAGGGCACAATGAGTGTGTTTGGGAGTGTTAATTACCTGCAGACCAGGATGTTTTTCCCGTCGAGGATTTGCGTCTTTATCAACAAGCATCAAGATAGTGTGCACTGCATGAAGGGCCTGCTCCTGTATAACACACACATTCATCAGACACATAGGTTGGTGTGTGAAACATGCAGAAAGAGTAGCTGCAGTTGCACTCTTGACTGCCGCCTACTAGACAACTTCTTTTCTAGACTGTGTGCATAAAGGATGTGTTCAGATGTTGATGCTGGAAGTTGGTGGTGATGATTGTTTTCTGGGCAGATCCTCACCTGAACCATGAGCAGGGATTTGTAGAACACAGAGGGCAGAGGGCACTTCCTGCTGTCAATCACTACGGTCAGTCCCAGCTCTCTGACCTCCATCCTGTAAACACATACATCTTCTTTTACATCAGTAAGTAAAGCCATATTTGGTATAGCATATTACATTTGTGCAGCTTCCAGGAGAATGATAAAACCATCAATATTGTCAAAACAACAGCCATCAAAACACATTTTAATTCTTGACAGACAGTAAATTCAAAGTGTGCAGCAACATTTGAATCTATTCTTAAAGCATGTGGATTTATCAGTGCTTGTAAATATGGCAATTCTAGATATAATGTCAACTCAGTGACAGGGAGGAAACATAAATAGCTATATGCTGTAATATATACAATGTAGCTTTATAAAATATAAGGAATAATCGTCCCGAACATACTTTTGGGGTTTATTTTTGGATAATAACTGGCTGATTGTACTTATTCCCCTTATTAAAGCTACTCACCAGTCACCAAATAAATAAGTACGTGGATATAAAATATTGACGTGTGTTTAAATTGGCTATGTATTATTATTATTAAGGAAAATAAGAAAAAAAAACTCCATCATAATGTACTGTAAGTCTGAACAGAACAATTGTCTTGCACTTGTTGGGTTTGTTTGAAACGAAAGCGCGAGAGAAAGTAGTGCCGGTTTCTTTTACCTGGATGAACGGAAGCGTTGTCACGGACATCGGCAAAACTACTTAAACATTACACAGATGATAATGTCATCTTGGTTCTAGAATGAAAATTAATAAATATATAGCCTATGATATATATTTCTTAATTCAAATTCTACTCAGATTTTGAATTAAGAAATAGGCCTACATTTTAGGCACAAACATGCCTGATAGGCTAATGAGGCCATTTCACATGCTCTGTATTTGGACTGCTACTCCATGTCTTTTACTGCCCTCTTATGGTGATTGAGCAGATTGGTCTCGGTTTGGTACCTGGGAATGGAGTGCAGGTAGAGTAACACTCTGCAGAACTCATGAGGAGAAAGTTGAGAGGACGCCCAGCCTTTCCTGCCCCCGTAGACCTCAACCACAGCCCGGCCAGCTCTGTCACGACTGCCTGGTATTGGTAAGAGAACATACAGTATTGAGTTAAAACAACACGATTTAACAGAATGACCATATTTTCTGTGCATGTGTGCAATAGCTTTGGCATTTTAGCAACTAACATGACAGCATTTGAGAGCAAAAGCAAATAAATCACTATTGTCTGAAGAACACACTTCAGAAAAAGTTGTGTATTTTCTGTATTTGGATTGCACGTGGCTGCATGCTAACCGCTACATTATAGAGGCTTGTCAAAACTGTCAGGCCTCAAAAACTGTAGAGAGGAGAGTTTGAACGTTTCCTGTTTACTGCCATCAGAATTGACATTTGATGCATTTAGCTTTATCTAGAGTGGAATGAGCAACATGTGCATGTAGAAAGTTAGAAGCAAGTAGTCATTTAGAAGGTAATTTTGGCAAAAGTAACTTAGATCTGGGTGTTACTCGCATATTTTTCTTATGTGAGATCATGTGTTATGTGAGAGCCGACTTAAATTCAGTTATTAGTCACTGATGACTCTCCATGTATTGAATTAAAGGGTTAGTTCACCCAAAAAAGAAAATTCTGTCATTAATTACTCACCCTCCTGTTGTTCGAAACCCGTAAAACCTTCGTTCATCATTGGAGCACAATTTAAGATATTTTTGATGAAATCTGAGGGCTCTCTAACCCTCCCATAGACAGCAAGGTAACTACCACGTTGAAGGTCCAGAAAAGTACTAGGATGATCGACAAAGAAGTTTGTGTGATATCAGTGGTTCAGCTGTAAAGTTACGAAGCTACGAGAATACTTTTTTGTGCAAAGAAAACAAAAATAACGTCTCTACTGCATCCCGTGTGGATCGCGTTCACGACAGTACCATGACGCGAGCGTGTGGCGGTGCTGACCCAGATCCGGCGTAATGACGTCATCACGCTGCCACACGCTCGTGTCATGGTACTGTCGTGAACGAGATCCACAAGTGACGCAGAAAAAGTTTTGTTTTCTTTGCGCAAAAAAGTATTCTGTCTATGGGAGGGTCAGAGAGCCCTCAGATTTCATCAAAAATATCTTAAATTGTGTTCCGAAGATGAACGAAGGTCTTACGGGTTTCGAACAACACAAGGGTGAGTAATTAATGACAGAATTTAAATTTTTGGGTGAACTAACCCTTTAATCAATGGTTCTACTACTTTTGGTTCTCTTGTATCTGTTTTTCAAACAAATGTACTGTATCATGTGTCATCAAAAGATGTATGGACTGTTTTTATTTTATTTTTGTTGATGAAACAGAGTAAATGTGACAATTAGATTTTTTGAGTGAACAATTCTTGCTCAAGGGAACAGTTGTTTATATATTAGTCTTTGCCCAGTCCTAGCCCTGAATTTTAAACACACCACAACACATAAATTCACACTTAAAAATGGTTAAAAATTGATTAGGAAGCATACCCGGTAAACAGATGATGCCTAGCTTGAGAAGGCTCTTGATTGAGGGGTCCTGGGAAAATAAAGTTGCCTGAACTCCATTCTCAGGCTGGCCAGTCAAGAGCTGATCAGCGTCTGATTTCTGGAGCTCTACTCCATTAACAGCTGGAGTTCCAGTCTTTCCAGATGAGTAGACTTCTTCAAAAGATGGGAAATTACATTTATTTTCAACATAGGTAAATATGCCAACACAAAAGATGGTGATTAAAAAAACTAATTCTACTTTTTCTGAACTTATTGCTTGAGTGAAAAGATGTGTGCCACAGCTAGATGGAGCTGTTGATCTCTTTTTGGGGAAAAAATGACTTGTAAACTAAATCCATCACCCTCCTCTTCCCATTTACAAAGACATCTAGCAGCTTCCCCATAAAACAGGGGGGATGTTGTTATTTCTGTTTCCTGCTCTTTGCTCTTCTTGGTCCTCATGAATGCTTTCGTTTTGTTCTGCTAAAGAAAGAAATCAGATGAAGGACTGCAGAAATTCCCCTGTGGAACGCTGTGCACGGTCCTGACCTTTGGCCAGTGTCACATTGCACTCTTTTAAGATGACCTTTCAGAAGGGTTTATTTTCTCCTCAGCAATTGACCAGGGTCAAGGTTGTCTGTAAATCAGTTGATATGTCATGGCGGATGGCAACTAGACGTGGCCTCATAGTGGTTTCATTTTTGTACAAGCAACTGTTCATATCAGTCATGTTTGAACATGCTTTTCATTTAAGGATAAAGGTCTAAAAAACAGCATGCTGGCCAGACGTCATGTTGCTTTAGATGTTCATTTGACATCAAAGTGAGATGTGGGGTAAAATCTGTATGCAATTAGTTGACACACACAGCAAGGAACCACAGAAAATAATTGTTAAACTATTTCTTTTGTATTTGCTTCTTCTAAATGCCTGTAACAAATCAGAAGCACAAGTCTCTTTTACATGCAGAGGTCAAACTCAACTTACCCTTTCTTGCTTCTTGTCGTCTGTTTAATTTTGGGGACACCAAATTAGCTGTGTGTTTTATTCCCTGGATAGCAGGCAACATGGGAATGATTTCTGGATAGACATCACTGCGGCTTCTGTTGGTTGGCTTGTGCGATTGCAGACACTCTTTGGTTGTTTCCGAGACTGAAGAGGATGAGCGGGATTTAGACCTGTTTTTACCTTTGATCACCTGTACAGGTGAACCTTAAGTGTTTTTTAAATTTGTTTTCAGTTTAGTTTTGTCTAGTTTTCAGTTGTTTTTACTCTCATTGTTAGTTTTAGTTTTTTATTTTAAATTACGACTTTCAGTTTGTTTGTTTTAGTTTTCCATAGTTAATGCACAGACTTTTTTTTTTAGAATAGTGAAAAATTATTTCAGTTCGGTTTTCATGTTGGTTTAAGTTAAAAAACTATTTTCATTTGGTTTATTATTGTTTTCATTAACAATGATTACGTTGACATGGCCTGACAGTATTTACAGTAAGTAGTGTTTGCTAAGACAACATCACTGTTATTATTGCACATACTTAAGCTTAGTGTTTTGAACAAATACCTAACCATAAGTCTTCAGCTTCTTGAAGTTGTATCTCATTTTATACTATTTGTGCTGCAGACATGAATGATTCCTCCAAGTCTGCAGTTTATTGAATCACTGGAGAATCCCCAGTTTGAGTCATTGAATGATACAGACATCAGATGTCTGCTTTGTCATGTGCTCATGAAGTGTGCACACATTGATGTTTATCTGCGCTAGACTTTCTCACGTTCTCACCGTTTCCTGCTTGATATTCCAAGTGATTTGAAGCATTTCGAATTGTAAGCTTATCCTCAGTGTGTATGTTTTATGATCCTGAACAAAATTAGAACTGGACCTTCCACAATAGGTTTAATGATTAATAATTTTGAACGATTGTGGAAAGACACAATAGCCTTTTTGTGTAATCATTAACCAAAGTAGTTTGTCTGGCCCATGCTTGTGTCTCATTCCGGGTGGTCCGTCCCGGGTGCATGTGGAACCTCTTCGGTCCTCTGGCTGACTTTCCCATCCTCAGCCTTTCTTCTTCTTCAGTAAACACATCTGCATGGTGCAGATCACTGTCTCGCCATGGCTCTGAGCCCGTCATTCTGTTTAACCCCCCGTTACTTCTCTTGTTACACGTCCACACCTCGGTTTTCCAAACATGTCCAAGTCAAACTTCATTTAACAAATCCTCAGAATCCCAAATGAAGGATATCTGGAGCCTGGCGCTGTTCCTGTAGTCTGGTATTTGCATTCAGGAGACTGTCAATTGCATTTCTCAGTGTTTTTGTAAATATCACCCTTAGACGAAGCCCTTGGCTGAACTTTGGAAAGTTAATTTGAAGGGTCATTTGATATCTGGAGATATGGGTCTTTTTTTAGCACTTTAAGAAATAATGTCTGTCTGTCTGTCTGTCTTCTCACCTGCAAGAGCCTTCATTTTAGCAGTACAGTTTTAATGTGTGACAACTCTCAATTAAATCTACACATAAATATCTGTTGCAAAAACATCTTTTCATTCGGCAGTGCACAAGTCTCTCTATAATTACATGATCTCAACAGGTAATTCTTCAGCGATTCTTCAGTCTGATGTTTGAAACACACCAAAGCTCAACTATCATTAATTTTGATGCTTTTTGCAGATGATTTCATAAATGCACAGTAAACAACCAGGTTTTGAACAGCCTTGTATTTAGTGGTGTTTGCTAAGGCGGGCATTACTAATAGGCTACTCACTTACTAAAGTCACAACAGTATCAGTGAAGATTTTTATAGCATGTCTTCCAATCAATTCTATTAATTTATTATTCATTATACAAAAATTGTGAACATATTTAATTGTGCGCTTTTAGGATACAAAAATGCAAGCTACAGTATGAAATTTCTTTTGGCAAGACTATTTTAGCATTTTTATCCGCCCCCCCCCCCCCCCCCCCCCCCCCCCCCCCCCCCCACACCCCCCACCCAGTAC